AGCAAACGTAAAGGCTCCAGTACACAATGGCCCATGCTGGCCCACTACAGGCCATCGCCATTGTGTACAGGGTGTAATGGTATATGCTGGCGGACAATTGTCAATCGTGGTGCGCAATCGGGGAGTTGTCGGTTTTTTGGGTACACTTCAAAGGAATCGTGGCGTAGCGTGGCCTGTGGTGTTCACACAATCGGCCATTGTTTAGTTCGTCACCGACTGCTGACCGGGATAGTGCACTTTTTTGTTGCGTGATAGAACTGGAATTTTTGATCGCCCAAAATGTCAGTATCGTGGAGCAATGATGAAACTTTTAAGTTTATTGATTTATATCAATCTGAGCCCGCAAGAACAATGGCGAACTCCCATATAGCTTTGGACCTGAATTTTTAAAGTCCCGTTCATGAATGAAATAAACGTGTACTTGAAGGTATAAGCTAAACTAACAAAATCCTAATCGTCTTTCTCCTTTAAAAGTTGGGATTAAGAAGATATGGCATAAAATACTTTGTGGGGTTATATATTGCATCTTTGCTTTTTCGTTGAATGGACGTTAAAATAAATAAAATTGGTAACCAGGTTACTCAATTTTATAAACTAGATTAAAATAATTACATATGTAACAAGATCCAGATACTTATAATAGAAGAAACATTTATAACATATGACTAGACTGTGTGGAGTTGATCCCTTTGCCTTTAATTAAATCATTACAACTGAAAGTGACAAATAAGGGCAATTTACACACTGACCTGTCATTGTATAACCGAATCGATTGCCATTCGAAATCCAAAAGTAATGCAAATATCAACGTTAGTCGAAGAAACATACTTAATTGTCAATTTGAATATTAACATAAATACCAAACTCCACGAACGAACACAACAAACAAACCAAACCAATCATCCGCTATCATTCCACCATCATCATCATAGAACATTCATAGATGAAAACAAGAATGTCAAAATAAAATCAACCAATCGATTATTTAGAACAAAATAATCGATACGTTAACCTTTCATCGGATTAACTGCAGAACTGGCAATAATCTTCTTAAATCGGTTGTGGTATCTTAGCTTTCCTTTTTTTTTATTTCTCAAGTATTCAATACGTAATTTGAATGAATAAAATAAATATTTATGAAAGTATCCAAAGACCGTATTTCATATAATATATTATATATAGATTTTATATTTAATATATATTTGACGTTCATTCGCTCAGTCTGTACGCATCATTACATCACATATCTCACTTATTATTAGTAGTAAATGACGACAGATAATATTCTATAGAACATGTTTGAAAAACTCGCGATTAATTGAGAATCGCCTCTGACATCGTTGATGTATGTGATCGATTTTTCAAAAACCATCCAAACTACAACCCTTTGACATATTGTGTGGTGTTCAATTAAAGAGATCGGAATCTATTTTGTACAATCTTATTTTGAATTTACATTCGATTATTAAGCGTATTAATGGTACTTTAATAGAATTAATTGCAATGTACAGGAAACGATAATATCCATTAAAATAGATGACCCTTTTATTGTCCGGCGCAAAATTCATGAAACACTTCCAAGACATAGTTATTAAAGTATTTCTGCGTAGACCAGAACGTTTCTTAAGAAGATTTTCGCGTTTTGTTTTTGCACTATCATCAGACGTTTTGTTATCTTGATAATTACTAGCAGCATTAAATATTTTAGTTTGGTTCCCCGACATTAAAATTCACCAATTTGTAGAAATAAAATCTATTAATCATATATTATTTATTTGTCATATTGCCATCCATGTACGGTTTTGTAAATTATGGGGTCTGATTTCGCCATTCTTCTTTGGGACTCAAATAATGCACTGCACAAGGATAAGAACAAGGTATGTTTATACTACAATATTTAAATGTTGATAGAAATTATGTATACTATCTCTACTTCTATACTAATATTATAAAGAGGAAGGACTTAGTTTCGGAGCCTATTGTCTATTCAGGCTCCGAAACTAATGTACCGATTTGAAAAATTCTTTTAGCATTAGAATCCTACATTATCCCTGATGAACATAGGCGATAAAAGAGCCTTGTCTGAAAATAATATGTAGTATATTGTACGTACGATGTTTTCAGGTGAATGATGCATGGAATCGCATTGCAGACTCCCTGCAAATTCCTGTTTCGGAACTTAAAAAAAAGAAAGAGACATTGATGTCAGCATTTCGGATGCATTTAAAAAAAAACAAGATTCGATCCGATCTGGTATGGGAGAAGAAGAAATTTACAGGCCAATTTGGGTTTTTTATGATGCTATGGAGACATTTTTAAAAGGAAAATATACATGCAATAGTAGTATATCGACAGATGTACAAAGGGTAAGTAAAACAAATAAATAGTTTCCAATAATTTTTATTAATATAGTAAGTACGTATTTACTGGTTTTTATTTCCACGAAATATAAAGTAATTAAACTATGCATCATAGGCCCTACCACTGCATAGTCGACTTTGATGGATGTAATTCATAAAATTTGATCTTATTTGCGTAGCATTAATTGGAGCCCGACGAGGTATAGATTGTAAGGGTAATAGATTTTCTTTATGGTTTACTCTCATACCTACATTGATTATTTCACCATTCCTATCATAGCTGTCAGTACTGCCTGGTGGAGTATAAATATAGCGACTTGATTTGCTCTTTCTTAAAAAATTGTGTCGTAATAAACAGCTGTGGGTTATAATAGAAGTTTTAACGACATCTAATGGAATAGATCTTTTAAATACTCTAAAAACTGATGATAATATTCCGAAAGTATTCTCTACGACCGCACGAGAACGTGATAGTTGTTGATTGAACATTCTTTCTGGGGTACCTAACACATGATGTCCAGAAAAGGGCTTCATAATATGAGTACTAAGAGCAAAAGCACCATCACCCAGAAAAACATAAGACATATTCGTATTACTTCCAGGAAGTGAACAACTAGATGGTAAATTAAGGGTCCCATCACATATTTTTTTCAACAAATTGCTTTGATTTAAAACACCTCCATCACTAATTCTCCCTTGGCTTCCTATGTCAGCAAACACAAAACAGTAATCGCTATCTACTAGGGCTAATAAAACTATGCTGAAACTTCCTTTGTAATTAAAGTATTCAGATCCGGTATGGCCTGGTGCTAATATGGTAATATGCTTCCCATCTATCGCGCCAAGGCAATGGGGAAAACTGAATCCTTTCGTTTTGGTCAGCCATTCCTCAGGACTTGTGGGAATCTGAAAAATAAATAATTTTTTTTTTCAGACAGGCATTGGAGAACAGACAGAACAAGAAACGGAAACCCCAAGTGATGCTAGAAGCAACACAGAAACAAAGGACATGAATATTAAGATACCTGTACAGAGGAGACGTTCAGTTAAGCCACCTGAGTTAGAATAAGCAGATAAGGAAATGTCAAAGGCTTTTAATACGGTAAACCAGGCTATTCTCAATAAAGGCCAACAAAATAAAATAGAGGACGACTGCGACTTGTATGGGAGGCTTCTTGCTAACAAGCTCAGAAAATATTCAGATAATAAGAGACAAGAAATAATGTACGATATTGATGGATTACTATTAAAACGGCGTCGCAATTGTAGTCCTCAGTACGTGTCTTCACCTTCTCAAATCATTATAAGTAAACGACCGTCATCTTCAGCCACCAGTTATTCTTGTCCATCACCGTCGTCACTTTGGATCAATTCCCCCCCTCATCATCAACGTCTTCAAATTATTCTCAATATAAAAGCCACTTTGGATCAATTCCCCCCCCTCATCATCAACGTCTTCAAATTATTCTCAATATAAAAGCCACTTTGGATCAATTCGCCCCCCTCATCATCAACGTCTTCAAATTATTCTCAATATAAAAGCCAAATCCCTTCTCCGCAAACTTATATAATTACTTCTCCTATTCCACCTACGCAAACTCCATCCCCTCCTCCACATACTGAACTCCCTATTGCCTCATGCACACAAAAAGAAATTTATCAATCTCCCAACAGAATCCATACACCTGGCCCTACGATCCATATACCTGAGGATTCCATGCAAATAATTTCTGACGAATTGTATTCTCAGCCACAGAGTCAGTCTCAGAATATTTTAGCTGATGCTTATGCAAGAGCCTTAAATAACGATTATAAAAATAACCAATTTAAAAAAATGTAGTGGGGAAATAATTATTAAATAAAAAAATTTCAGTATGTACAAATGTTTTATTAACTTACCTTAATCATGTCCTTTAGCACTTGGTTCAGAGCCAAACATACTTCAGGAATAATTCTACATATGAGTGTACTTGATATTTTAAATAGGTAGTGCAGGCTCCTATAACTGTCTCCAGTCGCAAGAAATCGCAATGTTAATGCCAATCTTATTTTTGGAGGTATTGCTTCTCGCCAATATGTATCCTTTTTTGCAATAATTGGCGATATTTTTTGCAATATATATTCGAAATCACTAGATGACATACGAACAAAGTTATCGAATTCCCCTGTTGGTTCTGCAACAAGATCGCTTAACAGATTGTCCATGGTTTGCCTGAAAACGGTAAAAAAAAATTTAGTCTTGTTACGTTAACATTCTAAATATAATATCATAACCTAAGTACCACATTAAAAAATTCTACGTACCTTGTCCTGTTACGATGAATGGTCAGCATCCACCATCGCCTTTTGCGCCATTTCTTTTTTATAACTTTGAGACACTTCTGTAATACTTGTAAACAGTATATAAATAAATAACCGCAGCCGTAATTACTTCTACGTCCATAGCAAGTGGTTTGCCAGGAAGCATTGAGACATGCGCCACTGTGTGAACACCAAGTGATCGTGGCCTACAGTTGTGCATTACAAAGCGTGGCCCATCACAGGCCTTTGTGTACTTGAGCCTTAATATCTCAACCGCACGGGCAGTCCGGCGTCCGTCACACAAAATTGAAACAAAACACTGATCCTGGCGACCGGCATTCAGAGCAATCGCGTGATTACCCCTGCCCCCGCCCCGCGCACTTCTCCACCGCGACAATCAACACTTTCGCAGTCTGCGAACTCTCTAGTAACTTCGCGCGGTAGTTTTTGAATTGCTGTCGACAAAGACAACAAGGATACATTTCATTTTTTATCAAATTATGTACTTTGTAGTGCAAGTTGCTGTGATCTTGCGGTCAGCACAGAATGGGTCAGCGGTCCAGATGCGGTGGAATAGACTAATCCGGAGAGAGCGTCAAAGTGAAAGATGCTCTACTTTAATTTAATATTTTCTACTCGAATGAAAGGAAAGTAGAAAACATGAAAGGTTATGTTTTTTTTTATTTTTTGGTGTGGGTGTTTTATGTGATTATTAGTAAATATAGGATAATAATATTACCATTTTTATGATGGAGGTAATTATAGACATAAATGAAATGCGTGAAAAAGTTTTTTTGAACTTTATTGAGAAAGAAAATAATTCGTCACTCGTTTCAGAAATATCTGATTTAGAGTCTGATGTATCACGGATGATTTTAATAAAACTAAAATCAATATCAAAGTGTCTCATGTATTCGTCTTCTATTTTTTCCACGTACTGACAACAAGTGTTGAACCAGATATCTTTATTTACTCGATCTTCATTTATAATGGGCATAATCGAAGTGTAGTTTTGATTGATATTGCTGCTAGCAACGTCGTTTTTTACAATACCCAAAATGTTTTCGATTGGGTTTAACTCTGGATGATAAGGAGGCGGTCGAAGCACTGTGAATCCATGTTCTTTCAATAATTCGTCAACTTTGTACTTGCGGAAGTTTTCTTTGTTTTTTAATATAAGGTCATAAAATTCAGGTTTTTTGTAGCTTGTTTCAAAATGGATATTTGTTGCATTCAGCCAAATCTGCATGTCTACTTTTTTGGAGTTGGATGTTGGTATTTTTTCCGAATTAGAATTGTAATAGGCTGCGTTATCCAAGACTACCACGGCAATATTTGGAAGATTAGGTATTAGTTTCTCCTTTAGCCACTTTAAGTAATTTTCTGTGTTCATGTTATCGTGGTAATCTCCGGATTTGATCTCTGCTCTGTATGTCAACAACGCATTTGGTACGAAACCCTCTGCGCTTTCGCCATGTACTATAATTATACGCTTTCCTTTTGTTAAATTTTGTTTAATTGCTGTTTTAGAACCTTCTTCGGCTCAAGATTTTTTTTGCACGTGGTTGGTATGAATATATGATTCATCTGTGTAGACTATAGGTCTACCTCCATTACGAAAAGACTTTACCTGTTTTAAATATTTCAGTCTTAACATTTGAATATCATGTCTTTCGGTTAGCACCTTCCTGTTTTTCTCCATTTATAACTTTTAAGTAATAGTGTTCTTGGGGTTGTTATACATCCATTAAATTGTATACGGTCTTTCAAAACAATATTAAGTCGTGATAATGTTGGAAATTGACGATGTTCTATATGATAGTTTTTGATAGTTCTTCGGACTACACCAATATCGAATTCTTCTAAATTTATTTTTCGTGGTCTTACCCTTCTCTTCTTTATAGGTGATGTAAAAATAGAAGCACTTCTGCCTACTAAATACGAATGTGACGTACTCGCTTCATTTCAATCTTCAATTTTTTCCGCTTCCGTAGTTGGCTCTGTTGTATGCTCCACACTTGGGACTGTTTGAACTATCGCACCCGTCTCCATAGTATATTCGATTCCATAGTAGGTCCTGTATCTTCCTTCATTGTGCTACTATATTCCTTCCCTTCGCGTAGAATTCTAGTCACTGTGCTTTCAGTAATCCAACAGCCTGTGCAACAGCATCGTGCATCAGTGATTTTTTCTGCATAATTTTTACTTGCTTCCTTTTCATAAAATCATAAACTTTAGAAATAATTTCTCGTGAAAAGTAAATATGAAATAGTTTTTCTTACTTTTTTAAGACGAAATGAAGTCATAGTAAAATTTTCTATTTTAAAAATTACTTTGCTTATTTCATGTGTTTTTAATAACCACGAACTTCTAAACAATAATTTGCATACCTGGCTTTTAAGTACAACACGCTGAGATTTTCTCGACATTTAAAAAAAATATAAAGTAGAGAAACTTTCGTGACGAGTCTGGATTTTTGAAACATAGAACATAATATACAGTACGATTCAAACTTGATGGCGGCTCGGATATTAGCTGTAAGGCTACGCTCACTTTGGACACGAATTCGTATCGTACGTAAACGTACGAATGTGGTCGTACGAAATGAGTGTTCACACTGAATCCGTGTTTGTCCGTCTACAAATCATTAGTCCGGTGATATTGCATTCGTTAAGACCTCTTTGATTGAAGTGCGATTAATAATCTTTACCTTCAAGATAATTCTCTTATTACTCGAAGACTGCGGCAACGTCGTCGCTGTCGAAGATCCGAATGGGTGCGTGAAATATATTTGAAAAGAAATGATTTCGGCGAATTTCATCATATTATGGAAGACTTAAATAAAAATGCTGAATTGTTTCATGGTTATGTACGAATGAAAAAAGAAACTTTCGAATATATTCTAAATGCTATACGACCGAAACTGACTAAATACAGCAACTTTCGCGAAACAATATCACCTGAAGAACGATTAATTGTAACTTTAAGGTAAGGAAGTAAATACACTTTTGTTTTAAATTTATATATCTTTATTAATCATATTAATTATTGTTTGTGGGATTATATTGCATGACAAATTGAGTGAGAGTACCATCTGATAATTGTTGTGGGAGTATACTAATAGATTGTTGCAATTCTATTGAATGATTTTGTGGTACACTGAAATCAACATTGTACTGACTCGAATCACTATTATCAAACTGTACCGCGGATGATATAGCAGCTTTTTTATCTATAAGAACTTGCTGTAATTTTACTCGTACTAGTAATGTACGATGTTTTGGGATATCTTTTAGAAATGGTAAGAGGCTCATGAGTAACTGGGCATCAGGATCGTTTGTATTTTCTTGAAAGCATCTTAACTTCTCCTCTTCAATCTGTAGTAGTCTAGAATCGATTTCATCCATCTGACGTGTTTTGATTTTTCTTGGGGTTTTAAATATTTTCCTTGTAATTTGTTCGTCATTTGGTTTCGAACACTGACTGAGGATGGGGAAGGAGGAACATAGTCGGAATTTGTGCTTGTATTTTCACTACTCTCTCCATCAGAAATCTCATTTATAGCTGGCACGTTACCTTTAAGATCCCTTCGGCTCATTGTTTCCCGAAGAAACAGTAAAAATTTAAAATAAGGCCATTTAGAGTTAGGCTCTGCATCAGCTGCTTGACCAGATTTTTTGTTGGTGTATTTTTTTAGTTCTTTGCCGAAAGTATCTCTTAGTCCTCGCCACTTTTTTTTAATCTCATCAACTGAAAAAAAAAATTACTTACAGGTACTTGGCAACTGGTACATCGTTTAGAGGACTTGGATATTCATTTAGGATATCGAACAATACTATTGGTTTTATTGTACATGAAACTTGTAACGCGATTTGGGAAAATCTTTCTGAAAATCATATGAAGTTTCCATCGAGCGATTATATGGTCAATATAACTAATGATTTTTGGACAAAATGGAGGTTTCCTAATTATTCTGGCAGCATTGACGGTAAACATATACGGATAAAAGCGCCGATGCACTCTGGCAGCATGTTTCATAATTACAAATCATTTTTCTCAATAGTATTGCAAGCTGTTGTGGATGCAAACTACAGATTTATTACCATTGACGTGGGAGCCTATGGCAAAGAGAGTGACGGTGGAATTTTTTCACATTCAGATATCTCAAGACTGTTGGAAAATGGTGCTCTCAACGCAAGTCAGGAAAAGTATTACATAGCTTTGCCTCACTTCTTAGTTGGCGATGAAGCTTATCCCTTGAAATCTTATCTCATGCGTCCTTATCCTCAAAGGAATTTGGGTCCAGAGGAAAAAATATTTAACAAACGCTTATCAAATGCAAGGCAAACTGTTGAGTGTGCCTTCGGTATTTTGTATAGCAAGTGGAGATTGTTATTAAAAGCAATTGAAGTAAGTCCCGACCGTGCCGACAACATAATAAAGTGCGTATGTTTACTTCAAAACATAATAATTAATAAGGAAGGTAGTCAAGTGTGGGCGAACGGCAGACTTCTAAAAAAAAGAATTTATTTTATGATTTTTATTACATTAATTTTAAACACTAGTGCTCATGATCGAGTCTTACTTAATGCTAACCGACATCTAACTTAACTGTTAGAGTTACTAAAGTATAATCATCATGAATTGTTAATGTCAGCTTTTTTATATCTTTATGCCACAAAGGTGTTTATTCTTTAATATTCATTGTAACTGTACCGGATGTTGTTAATGGTTTTGTTTTGGCTAAATGATTGCAACAAAGTATTTAATCGATTCCCGAAATTTAATACAAGGGATACTTATGCTGCATACCTATACTCTTTAATTATGTACTGACATCCACAACACGTGACAAGGAATGAGCCATCATAACTCCTCCCTCCTTAAGTTCGAAATTCTCTGAATTTTCGTTTTTCTGAGAATTTCGACCCCTTTTATTACATTGATGTTTTTTATATTTACGAATAATGCAAATTAATATAATTATGACAATTACTGGATACAATATAATAGTTCCTATACTAATGCTCTTAGTATTTATAGATTCTTCATAATTTTCTGAGTTTTCTTCAGTTTTCCGTAGTGCGTATGTTAATAGCTGCAGGTTTTCTAAATTTACATCATCCAAGTTAACGGGCTTCATCTTCGTTGCTGACTTGATCTGTGGTAATTCAGGAAGCTTGATTTTCGGTGATTTTTCATATTGAGGTTGTTTTCCATTAGTAGTGTGACATTTCAATTTGATGCTGTTGATCGTAACTTCGCAACTACTGTCCACGACAATTACGTATGTTCCCAATAAGTAATTTTTCACTATTTCTCATTTACAAGTTTCCTTTAATACTACTGTCTTTCTTGAGTATACCAGTGTTGCCAACAATAATATAGAAATTCCGCTAACTTCATTACGAAATTCCGTTAAAATCGGTTATACTTCGCATTTTTCCCGTCAATAAAATCCGTCAGAATACCAGTTGGTAAATAAAAAACGTAATAAAAAATAACTTAAGTTTAATGAAAATTTAAGTACAAAATGTGTTTTTCAAAAATAATCTAAATCTATATTTTCAAACTCGTCGTCACTATTAGGGGTCTCAGTCATTTCGGATGCAGTAGAAGTCGACGGTAGGCTATAACTTTGACTGGTTCCAATTAAATTTAATGTTTCGTCTGGTAACTCATATGTATAACATGTTTTCCCATTGCGTTTTAGCCCCGCTCGTATATTAAGAATGGCGTTAACCATATCTGTCTTCATTCTATTTCTTAATTTTGTTTTTACGCCATTCATTACACTAAACACTCTTTCAACCTCCGCATTCGAATATGGTAAAATCAACATTGAAAATGCAAAATCACTTAATTCTTTAAATGGATTAGTGCCAGCGGCATCTTTATATTCTTTCACTTCTGACCAAAACTCTATCGTGTCGTTTACTTTAGTCCACTTGGTAAGATGTATTGCATTCCACTGGGATTCCATTAATGTAATCATATTATTTGAGTATTGGAAATGAGCCAATAAGGAGCTTATGGATTCTTTATGTACTTTTAAAAGATTTTTACAAGATAGTAATTCTACTTGCTGCAATATCTCAATATTGTCAGGTAGCCTATAACGCAGTTGATGTATTAAATTTATTATAAAATTAACGCACCGTTGTCACTGTTCACGTTCACATTCTTGAACTAAAGCTCCTATTTCACTGACATTTTGGGATGGTATAGCGCAACTTCCGCACTATCGTTGCAGTTAAGACACGAGAACGATTTTCAAGTTTCACAGTTTGTTCGTTTATTAAGCTCATTTCCCTTATTTTTTTTTCAAATCCGTAACCAAGGTAAGGTTTTGGGTCCAAATAATTTTCGACATTTATAGTCAATGGATTAACTTGCGGACGTGGAATAATTATTTTCGCAACCAGAAATCGGAGCAGTGTAGTTAAATCCTTAAACAATTTACAGGGATCGGCATTATTGGCTTGAAAGGTAAAGCCTTTCAAGCCAATAATGCCGATCCTTGCATTTACTCGTTGCAGCTCTTCTAATATCGGGCATAAAAATGATATCAATGCCAAATTTATGTCGTCTCTATATATCCGATACAGTAACTCAGCAGTATAATTTCGGCTCGATATTTCGAAATGTGTTTTTAATTCACACCATTGTTTCAGTATTCTTTCTACTGCTGAATGTATCGATAGCCAGCGGGTTTGACATGCTCGAACAATTTTTAATGGATCATGGCCTTCATTTATTGTTTTGTACAACTCTCTATACTCAGCCTGACGCGTTGATGACTGGGAAAACCAATTATATGTTTCAGATATCATAAATTCCAAATTTCTCGGGATTGTGCCTTCTGAATCGTGGGATACAGCAAGCTGAATGGAGTGGCAAACACATCGAGCTAGAACAAGTCCGGGAATATCTGTCTTTAATTTCGCATGCACACCGTTATTTATGCCAGTCATGACACTTGCATTGTCAGTTCCTATACCGCTCATATTTTTGCAGTCCAAACCGAATTCTATAAGAGTATCTTTGAGTGCACTAACTATTCCATCTGCAGTGCATTCAGTTAGTGGTGCCAACTTAAGAAAAGACGTTGTTATTTTTTTTGCTTTTAAACTGTAGTATATAATCACCAAGCCAAGATATTTTGTAATACTTATGTCTGTGGACTCATCTAAGAGTAGACTAAACTTTCCCGATCCAATGTCCTGTTTTAAATCGTGTTTAAAGTGTGGACTTAAACAGTTTTTTATAATATAGCTACATTTAGTTCGGTGTAAATGCATAATTCTAATTCCATCAGAATCAACACCCACTTTCTTCATCATTAAGCTTAAATGATCCACAGTTAGTACGCTACAATGTTCAGCAATAAAAAGCGTCGTGTACGCTTCACATGATTTTGTTTTATCTACTGCTTTTTTTGGGAATTCAATTGTCCGTTGCCGAGATGGTGCTAATACAAGGTGTTAGGAAAACGCTTCCGAAACTTTAACATGGTTATTGTACCATATTAATGGAGTCCTACAAAAATATTTGTTTACTTGAATAATTAGTATTTAACGAAATCGTATTTTCTAAGCACGCAATGTAAAACGTACAAATACGCGAGCGCTTTTGATAGTTGCACACATGCATAAACGAGCACACACAAACACACAGAGACGATCGTAAGTACTACGTGCTACGTAAAGTAATTTATTACAATAACCTTTAATTTTATTATAAGTAACGATTAATTTAACCAGTTAAACTTAACATCATGATTTTTATTTTAATGCAAAAACGTACTTACCTGTTCATGTTCTCCGCGGTCTAACAAAGTGTGGCTCGAATTGTGCCCCATTCATCTCAACACAAATTCGAGCGCGTCGCCGCGTCTCTTCGTGAAGTCGAGGCATGAGAGTTGAGTCCTCGATACAACTCGTTCTTATTGTCTTGAATGCACTCACAATTCTTGCCCGCATTTCCTCAGCACTGTCACAAACTCTATTGAACACTTTTTCTTTAACACATCCCCACAAAAAAAAGTCCAAAGGTGTCAAATCAGGAGATCGTGGTGGCCAGGCTTGCGGTCCTAATCGCCCGATCCAACGGTCACCAAATAGTTCAGTGAGACGCTCACGTACCGGCCGTACCACATGCGGCGGTGCGCCATCGTGTTGAAACCAAGCCCTTCTTAGCTCAGCTAATGATATGCCTTCAAGAATTTCATCAAGGCTCTCATTAATGAACCTAAGATACCCAGCTCCGTCAGGTCGTTGTGGTAGAAACACCGGCCCAAAGATAACATTGTTGAAGACGCCAGCCCAAACGTTGACCGACCATCGGGTTTGGTGGCCAATCTCTTGAGTGGCACGTTGATTGGTTTCAGACCATAAATGTGAATTTCGTCTATTCCACATGCCGTTCCTTTTGAATGTAGATTCGTCTGTCCAGATAACATGCTGAATAAATCCTGGAAGACGCTGTTGTTGATCCAACAACCAACGGCAGAAAGTGCGACGACGGGGTAGGTCTTCGGGTATCAAAGCTTGCACTTTATGAATTTTGTAAGGCCGCATTCTGTTTCTTCGCTTAAACTTTGTACACCGTCCAATGCGAAACTGAGGGCCCATTGGGCCGCTGCAATAACTTCGCAACAGTCCTCGTGCCCAAACGGGGGTTGCGTTGGATCACATCGAGAATACGCTCCTCGGCTGCAATGTCTATTGGTCGCCCACCGCCGACCGCCACCGGAACGATCGGTTGATTCTCCAACAGTCGTTGAAACGCAGCAGTAATGGTTCCAGAGTCTCCTGGATGATGCACATTAGGAAATCTTTCCTGGTAAATTCTCAAAGCTAGAGAAGCATTGCCACGTGCTTCTCCTAAACACATAACCATGTTCCCATAGTCACGAGCACTGTACACATACGCATTAGGCATGATGAGATGCACTTATTGTCTAATAAAACTTAAAATAAACACTAAATAAATAAACCTAACACGCTCAACTAAAAACTATGATAACTAATTTAACGAAATAAACTTTAAAATACGCATTCGCAAACCGAGATGGAAAGTTTTTTGCCACTGGTCATGCCTCGCTCATATCAAAGAAGCCGCGATCATTCGTTTTTCGGTTCTTCCTACTGAATATTCGAGTGTTGCAACTTTTTTCACCAAATTCCCAAAATTGTTTTAGAAATGAAATCTGCAATTAAATGGATTGTGCATTACGTGTTCGATCAAATTTATGTTTTAACATTGTGAATTATTACAAGAACTGATATCGTAAGTAATTTTTAATAAAACCGAAATAAACCAAATGAAAATTGTCTGAAAGTGTACGCTATACTAAATTATTTTTATAACAAAATAAGTAAAATGTTTGAAAGAATGTTGTGCATCATTAATAATTGTTTTCACTGTATAATAATAATAAAAAAATAAAAATGTTCTTTATTAACATTATTTCCATCATTTACAATCTTGAAATTATTCCAGTAAGTAATATAAAATACTTAATATTTTTAAACTCACACGATTTGTATACATTATAATTATATGCAATCGGGTCTTGTTCGTGCATTTTTTAAAACAATTAATTTACCTCGACGTTTCGGCTACGTTACAGCAGCCGTGGTCACGAGGAGACTGGAGAACTGGCGGGTGTCGTCTTCTGATTTTAGTTGAGGGTAATCCGGTAATAATGTTTTTAACTGATTTTCAGATGTACCCTCCACTTGATTTTATTATACGTAAAGGTGGCGACACACTGCACTTACGGTATCCGAGAATATTGTTCGTGGTTGTTTGCGATCGCGACACTTATACATTTTTATAACCGGATTCCACGTTGGTGAGAGTTTATATCCACTTTCCCGGTTGAAATTGTTGTGTTTTTTGATTTCAACCGCTTCACGAACAATCCTTGGATAGTAATGTCGTTCAGTGGAAAGGACATGAGGTGTATGTAACTCGATCCAGTGGTTTGATCCAGATGATAATAAGTGCTCTGCAATCGCGGACTTCTCCACTTGACGATTTTTGACCGCTGCTATGTGTTCTCTTACACGTTCGGCGATAGTCCGCTTCGTTTGTCCGATATATGAACTACCGCAGCTGCAGTCAATTTTATAAACGCCAGGTTTTTGGTAAGGAATACTATCCTTTGGTGATCGCAATTGGTGTGACATTTTTGATAAAGGAGTAAAAATGGTGTCTATAGAAAAATTTTTCCTCAAAATGGAACCGATTTTGTCCGTTACTCCCTTAACATAGCCTAAAAATGCCCGTTGCCTGGGAACCTTAGGTAGTCTTTCCTTACACCTTCGGATAGGGTATGACCTCCTTGCGCTGTATCCATTTTTCCTTAGCACGTCCTGTACATGGGACAACTCATCTGCTAAGAAGTCAGTATTACATAATGCGTTAGCCCTGTTAATAAGAGTTGTCTCCACAGAACGTAGGTGTTGAGGATGATGATGAGATGAAGCGTGGAGGTACTTGTCTGTGTGTGTTGGTTTCCTGTAGACAGTGTGTTTCAGGGACCCATCAGCTTGCGCCATGACTTTAACGTCCAGAAAGGGTAAGGTTTTGTCACTCTCTAACTCATAGGTGAACTTGAGATTCGGATGGATATTATTGACGTGTGTAAGGAACTGCTCAATCTCCGGTTTGTCGCCCTTCAGGATACAGAACACATCGTCTACATACCGTTTCCACATACGGATCCCATGTGACTGGTAATCTATCAATGACTCGACATGTTCCATCCATATATTGGCCAAAAGTGGCGCTACGGGGCTACCCATGGCGACACCATCAATTTGAAGGTAATGTTTGCCGCGATATAGAAGATAGCTGCCATCTAAACAGTTCCGTAATAGAACCATGTACCCTTCCGGTATATCGTTTTGTCTAAGTTTCATCCTAACAACCTCTAGACAGTCCTTAACTGGAACTTTGGTGAACAGCGACTCAACATCAAAACTCACCATTACGTCATCCGGATCCAGTTTTGTATCATCAAGGATCTGTACAAAATGACGCGAGTCCTTCACAAAGGATGTTGTAGTGCCCACAAGGGGTTGCAGTACGGAAGCAACGTGTTTTGCCAAATAATAAGTAGGTGAGTCAATCTGACTCACAATCGGTCTCAGTGGAACGCTGGCCTTATGCACTTTCGGCAATCCGTATAATTTTGGTGGTTGTACTATCTTCGGTTTGTATAGGTTCTCAAAGATGTCCTCGGTGAAAAGGTGTTTATAATCCCTGATAACAGCACGTATTCTCCTTGTAACTCTCGCAGTTGGATCGTACGATACCGGCTTATATATGTTATCATCTTGCAACAGAGCAAGTATTTTGGAGTCGTAATCGCTAGTATTTATCACGACGGTAGCGTTGCCTTTGTCGGCCTTGAGAACGAGAAGGTCCTTATTAGTTCTCAAGTTCTTAAGAGCTCTACGCTCTTCGCTCGTGACGTTGCTCTTAGGTACTTTGGATTTAGGTAACACGATAGCGACATCTTGCCTCAAAGCGTCGGCATCATCAGTTGGTACCTTATTACGAACTATTGTCTCCTCTATACTGCTGATGATATGTTCATACGGTATCCTCTTCGGGGTAGTAGCAAAATTCAGTCCCTTTGCTAAAACACTGCGAGTGGCACCGTCAAGTGTAGTATCAGATAAGTTGATGACGTCATCAACTGACTCCCCAGTGATCCTTGATCTTCCACTACGAAACAGCAATTTTTAGAATTTACGTTCATGCTTTTGCGTGGATAACTCGAAAATTCTGCTTGCTTGCTGATACGTTACGCGATCACATAACTCAAAATCACTGTACGATAGCTCGGACACACACTCACTATGCACTTTATAAAGGGCACGCTGTACACTGTCCAACTCACGATGACCGTTACGTATCAGTTGTTTAAGAAGACGAACACTCGCGCTCCGTAGAATGTCACTGGAATGTGCTATGTGTACACGCGGCTTAATACGTACGCACGTAGGTATCAAACCGTTATCACGACATTTTGTTAGAAAAATTGATGAAGTCTCTAACCTCACTTTTTTCTTCCGTAACGATTCTAGATGGCGCACTTTGTTTGCAATTTCCGGCCCGTATCGGTTTGCTAATAATATTTTTAAACTCACACGATTTGTATACATTATAATTATATGCAATCGGGTCTTGTTCGTGCATTTTTTAAAACAATTAATTTACCTCGACGTTTCGGCTACGTTACAGCAGCCGTGGTCACGAGGAGACTGGAGAACTGGCGGGTGTCGTCTTCTGATTTTAGTTGAGGGTAATCCGGTAATAATGTTTTTAACTGATTTTCAGATGTACCCTCCACTTGATTTTATTATACGTAAAGGTGGCGACACACTGCACTTACGGTATCCGAGAATGTTGTTCGTGGTTGTTTGCGATCGCGACACTTATACATTTTTATAACCGGATTCCACGTTGGTGAGAGTTTATATCCACTTTCCCGGTTGAAATTGTTGTGTTTTTTGATTTCAACCGCTTCACGAACAATCCTTGGATAGTAATGTCGTTCAGTGGAAAGGACATGAGGTGTATGTAACTCGATCCAGTGGTTTGATCCAGATGGGACCATTTCGCTCCAGCTTTGTAGCAAGTACATATTTTAATGTTGACAAGAACCAAAATTAATGAATTAATGAGTTCGTGGGTGAGTATTGTGTTGTGAATGTGTGTATTGTGTGTTGTGATTGTGTGTATTGTGTTATGTGTTGTGCCTGTGGGTGTGTGTTGTTATCTACATATATATTATATATTTGTATTTGTTTGTATATGTATGTATATGTATATGTCGCAGCCATGCGGCACAATGAGCAACCCAGTCAGCCGGCCGACCACGCCACTCGACTGTGACATACACGTAGTACTTATTTATGTAGTTAATTCTTTTCAATATGTCCTCAGTTTCCTCATATGTAAGAGTTTTTAAGAATTCTATTAACATATCTTTACATTCATACAACTGTTTATCATATATATTTAGTTTCCTATTTAATTTATTATATAAATAAGCTGATTGACTGTTATATTGACGTTCTGCGAAGGCTGTATGACTCCTAATTGATTTGACCACAACATTACTACGTCGCCTATTAAGTTTTTTTGGATCAAAATTTAAAGTTGTGTGTACTTTCAAAATAATCTTTAAAATATACAATTTTCTAATCGTAAGTAAATTACAGTCGCTATAAAGTCTTTCTGTTGCGTATTTATTTTGTTTGGAGTGCATCATTTTAATAAGTAATCTTTGAGACCTTTCAAGTACTAGTAATTTCATTTTAGTAGCTCCTCCCCAGACCGGAATACAATAGGTTATAATCGATTGAACAAGTGCTATGTAAACCTTATTTAAAAGATTTTTTGTCATTATATTTCGAAGTGTTCTAAAAATCCACATCAATTTTCTGATTCTACAAATAATCATTTCAATATGGCCGTGCCATGATAGTCTATAATCCACAATTACTCCAAGATATTTGGTAGAAACCACTTTATCAATGATAGGACAATCACAGTT